TTCTGCACGCACGTCATGATGAGCCAACATCTGGACATATAGGTGTCAGCCGTACATTCACCAGAATTCATCTGGTATACTACTGGGCGAAACTGTTAGCATGACCTCAGCACTATGTGAAAACTTGCCGTGAGTTCAGAAGGGTTGCTGATCGGGCGAGTTGGTCATCCATGAACGTAGCGTGTATCAACGCAGTACATAAAAGAGAGACACACGACACAGAGGTAGAGATAGGTAGGCGCTAAACTCTCAACTGTTTAATTCAATTCCAATCACACCCCTTTTATACATCCGTGACAAAACGCAACTCATCTTGCACGTATTCTTAAAACAAGGCACGTCGTTTCCTTTTCTGACAAGGAAACCGATGACCATCTTACACACAAATGGCGCAATTCTTCTATAGCCTCGGCTTGTTTTATCTCCCGTGTGAGCCGAACTCTAGAACGACCGATAACTATGCAACTCTAAAGATCAGGGGAGCACCCACAGCCTTTGCTGTGTGCCACCAGGAATACTCCCGCTGTAAGCTTATTTCTCGCGTTATAGCAGTGCTCGCGTAATCTGTCATTCCGGCACCGTTTTGTTTGCCCAATATAGTGCATTCCGCAGGATAATGAATACTTGTAGATGACACAGGATACACAATCGACGAATCTAACGTGGTGTTTTTTATCACAAGCTGGGGGAGCAACATTTCTTGGACAAGTGAGCTTGCAAAGCTCCCCTAGTTTATTAAGTGCTCAAAAACGACACGTACATTAGCCCTCTGGGCCACTTTCTTAAAGTTGTGAGAAATTGTGTGCATGTACGGGATTACACCTACTCTGCAGCCCGTGTACTCCGAAACTTCACACCTTTTTTTTTCTTTTCGAGACTTTTAAGAATACGTCTGGCTACAGAAACCTGTAACATAATTTGGTAGCCTGCTTCAGTTACCGTCACACCATTCATACCGTCACCGAGACACTCGTCTAGTATTTACAAGCTCCTACGTTTGGAGCTGTACTGCCAAGTGCATCTCTACCGACAGGATCTGGTCACAGAGTTGCGGTGCTCCAGTGATCCTGTGTGTTTGAATGGCAGGATTCGTGTGGTCTCGCGTTTCGTCGACCAGAGGACAGAATGGCTGTGGCAACTTCATCTGAAGCAGCTCTGGAGTCGTCTACCGGAAAAAAGACCGATGCAGAAAAGCCCTGTTCATGGGGCTTCACAGCTAGATCTTCGAGGTTTCATCCGCGACGAGCTCTCGCTGGATCCAAAGTTCGCGGTCGAAAAGAAGAGACCACCAAACGAATTATTTTCCATGTTGAGACAGCTTGCTAGACTTGTGCCAGAGGAGGACGCGACGCGTGTTGTATCAGAAGGCTTAGGTGTCATTTCACGTCATAGTATCACGCGTCCCAAACATTCTGTCAAACGCGTTGCCGATTTTTTGACTAGCTGTGCGTTGTGTGCATTACCCGCTGACAAGGAAGGTGGCCTCACCGTTTTGTCTACAAGCACGTTTTGTGCTAAGGCAGACGAGGCCATCTCCAGTGTTTTTAAACGAAATGATGACATCACTCTGCCTAAGGTAAAGGCGCAGGTCAAAAAACTTTGTCGCAGACTCAGTCTCGATAAGTTGCTGAAGAGTAATAATGATAGCAAGCGATGTCACCTCCAGGTATTGTTCAGTGTTGAAAGTCACAAACCAGACGTACCTTTAAGGGTGATTGTATCAGAAAATGACACCTGGCAGAAGTAAGTCGCTTTGTTTTTTCAAGCCAAGCTTAATTGTTTGCCCGTGCCTGATCCGTTCTTGATTAGGTACTCGGATCAAGTGGTTGGGTTCTTGAAGGATCATCCACGAACAGGCTATCAAGCATTTTCGGTAGACATAAAAGATTTGTATTATTATTACCCTCACCGTGCTTTGTTCTCTTTCATTGAACATGCCATCGATGAATATGGCGCCACGCGCTTTCAAAACGAAGCTTTATTGTCGATGAGTCATTTTAGAACTTTTATTGTTTTACTTATCGTCCACATTTATTTGTTGGAACAACGCACTGTATTTGCAAAAAAAGGGCGTGTGTATCGGTTCGTGTATAGCACGCATTCTTAGTGATTTGTTTTTATCTGGTCTTAGCATTACCTTGTCTAAAACGCTACAAAACACCAGAGTGTGCAAAGTTTTTCGCTTTGTCGACGACTTCCTGTTTCGATTGACTGCACTCTTGTTCACGTAGAGCCGAGGGTCTGTGATGTGTTGCCCACAATTAAGGAATGCCTGGCGCCCCTGAAGGTCACTTGCGAACTTCCACAAGGGGGTTCAATTCGGTTTCTGGACCTCAGGTTATTTTTCTCGGGAAACCACACGTAATAGGGGTATGAGCCGCGAGCAAATAAGCCTCTTCTTTCGTTCGCTTCCGCGCATTCAAAAGTCATTAGGAGGGGCATGGCTAACTTGTCTTATTAAAATGCCATGACCAAATCGCGTCACCACGAGATGTCTTCCAGTTTTGAGACCCAAAGCAAGCGTCTAACGGAAGCAGGCTACCCAATCCTGTCACAGGTTTCTGTAGCCGAACGCATTTTCCAAAAGTCTCGAAAAGAAAACAGGCGTGGAGTTTCGGAGTACTCAGGCTGCAGAGTAGGTGTAATCTCTTACATGAACAATTTCTCACAACTTAAAGAAAGTGGCCCAGAGTGCTATTGTACGTGTCGTTTCTTAGCACCCAAGAAACTAGGGGAGCTTTGCAAACTCACTTGTCCAAGAAATGTTGCTCCCCCAGCTTGCGATAAAAACACCACGTTAGATACGTCGATTGTGTATCCTGTGTCATCTACAAGTTTCCATTATCCTGCGGAATGTAATATATTGGGCAAACAAAACGGTGCCGGAATCACAGATTGCGCTAGCACTGCTATAACGCGAGAAATAAGCTTACGGCGGGAGGATTCCTGGCGGCACACTGCAAAGGCTTTGGGTGCTCCCCTGATCTGTTTAGTTGCAAAGTTATCGCTCGTTCTAGAGATTGACTCACACGGGAGATAAAAGAACCCGAAGCTACAGAAGAATTGGGCCATTTGTGTGTAAGATGGTCATCGATTTCCTTGTCAGAAAAGGAAATGTTCCTTCGTTTAAGAACACGTGCAAGTTGAGTTGTGCTTTGTCGCGGATGTACAAAATGGGTGTGATGGCATGAAATAAAGAGTAGGAAGTTTAAGGCCTACCTATCTCTACGTCTGTGTCGTGTACCTTTCTTTTATTTACTGAGCTAATACACGCTACGTTCGTTGCCGTGAGTGTCAGAGACGCAAAACTCCACCCGTGAAACCTGCCAGCCTTCTCTAGCCTATAGAACAGCCGGACACCCCATTCCAACAAGTCGGTATGGATCTCCTAGGTTCGTTTCCGACATCGACTGCACGCAAAAAGTGGATAGTCGTAGCCATGCACTATCTCACTCGTTACGTTGAGACTGACTCGCTGTACAGTGAAACTGTTTATGAAGTTGCCAAGTTCTTCATTAACAACATAGTCTTCAGACATGGTGCACCTAGCACCATACTTACAGATCGTGGCACAGCTTTTACTGCAGACGTAATGAAGTGCCTGATGCGAATGACCCATACAGACAAGAGAAGAACGACGACATACCATGATCAAACAGATGGCCTAACGGAGCACCTGAACAGAACTCTGACTGATATGCTTTCAATGTATGTCGACGTCAAACATAAACTGTGGGATGAAATATTGCCCTACATCACGTTCGCATATAACACAGCCGTTCAAGAAACGTCAGCGACAACTTTTGAACTTGTATTCGGCCGAACAGTCCCCAGTCTACTGTATGCCATGTTACCACTGAATGATGAAAGCAGCAATCCACCCGACCTACACGACTTCTTGCAAAGAGCCGAGGAAGCACGACAGATGGCGACATACAAATAACGCCACCCACAGCGTTTCGACTCCTACCGGTACAATCAGCGTCGTACCGAAGCGCATTATCAACCAGGTGACAAAGTATGGATATGGAACCCAGGGCGTTGCCGTAGACTTTCTGAAAAACTTCTTAGCCGATACTTCGGGCCTTACGAAGTACTCCATCGTGTAAGTAAACGTACCAAGTCAGATCCGCTATACACGGGAGCTCAAAACGGCACAATCCTACAGAAGTTGTACATGTAGTCCCGATGAAGCACTACTATAAGAGATCATCCGAAACCCAGTGACACCGCCCAGCAATCTATTTATTGCCTGAAGCATCGGGACGATTCATATGAAGAGGGGGATTATGCCGCGACATCTTGCCTGCATTTAAACAACGCGCCCATCACCGCGCACACACGGACATACATGCGCGCCGTCTAGTGTTGCGCAAAGACGACGACGATGGCACGAGTACCCAGCTGGACCCGGCTGATGTGCGCCACGCGCTCGAGACTCCTCTTGAAGAGGAAGAAGAAGGGCATCTTTGGTGTTCGGCTGTCCCGTTCTACGAGCATAGTCACTTTACGTTGTGGGCACAACTTCGCCCTTTATTAAATAGGTTTTATCCCCCTTTCCGTTTTATTACATCATTACAATATGATTATGAGGGACGCCGAAGTGGAGGGCTCCGGAAGTATCGACCACCTGCGGCTCTTTAATGCGCACCCAAATTTGAGCACACGGGCCTACAACATTTCCGCATTCATCGGAAATGCAGCCGCCGAAACCGGGATTCAATATTATATCATATATTTTTTCCGAAATGAATGTTATTTGCGAGTCAGCACTTGTCCGTGTTCTTTTTTTTTGTCCTCGTCCCATGTGTGCTGTTCAGTCAAGCTTAAAATAAAGAAATTTGGTTCCCATCGCCACGATGGTCTGCTTGTGACGACATTTGAATACTGCTTTGATGGGATAGTACATAACTTACATGGGAAGTAAGTGCTTCAGAAGGTTCATTGATTCACTGAATTACACATCGGCGGCCATCAGCAGCCGTCAATTTCCGCCTTACCTGCAGAAAGCCTCGTCGTAGTCCATCGGCTGGGTGCGCAGTTTCTCGAGCAGTTCATTGGCGACTGTATTTGGGCTGACGATTTCACGCAGACAGTTCTTCACGTGCGTCATTCCGGTCTCACAGCCAACGCGGCCGGACGACGCAGGTGCACGTGGCGTCGGACGCTGGTCACCTGCGCCACAGCATTCGCTCGCTTTCATTTGCGAGCTACGAGTAGGCTTCACAAGAGAGCTGCGACAAGTCAACAAGTAAATGGTCCAAATATACAAGGCGTGCGTCCGAAATCCTCAGAACTCAGTACTTCCTAAATGCATATACAACTGCTTTTCCTCTAGTGATATGCAGTTAGGATGGTTAAAAATACCGTTTCGTACAGTAACAAAATAAGTGCAATAAAAAAACCATTATTGCGATAGCAACTACATGGACACGAGAAGCTGATTTCTGTCGTCCCATTATGTCCCGGCTACGTATATATACATGAAAGGCAAAATACGCCAGGCCTGCGCTGTAGGCGCCGCACAGTCACAGCAAAAGCTAAAGAGCGGCCTTTCGGCGCCTTTTCAAAACACTCATTGGGTAACTACTGCAAGCACACTTGATTGGTAGCCACTAGGGCAATAATAATTAACTTTCGGGTAGTGGACCAGAATTAGTTATGCTATTTTTCGTTATTCTTATGAGAAGCATGGTATCCACTAAACACTTGCTAGACATTTTGAGCCAATTTTCCATGCAGTGGCTGACGACGATGAAGAATTATGGCTGAAGTGGTTTTTGAAGTTTTTAAGCTGGACTGTGGAAATAGTTCTAGCGCTGCGAAAGCTACCTTTGGATGTCGATAATGCGATCATAATCACGGATTCCCTGTCTGTATGTACGTCGTTTACAGCGTCAACAAAATCGATGGCCTCAAAGACGCTCCTTATGCTAGTTGATTGATATGTGGGGTTTAACGTCCCAGAACCACCATATGATTATGAGATACGCCGTAGTGGAGGGCTCTGGAAATTTCGACCACCTGGGGTTCTTAACGTGCACCCGAATCTGAGCACACGGGCCTACAACATTTCCGCCTCCATCGGAAATACAGCCGCCGCAGCCGGGATTTGAACCCGCTACCTGTGGGTCAGCAGCCGAGTACCTTAGCCACTAGACCACCGCGGCGGGGCACTCCTTATGCTAGTCCCTCCTCAGCTGCAGCTACTGAAATTAGTATGGGTACCTGGTCATTGCGGCTTAGAAGTAGATGAAATCGCCGACTCTCTAGCACGAGCAGCATTGGAAGTGGAAGGGCCAGTACTATCAGTCCTTCTCGAAGTGGCCACTATAACTGCGACAAGATACAGAAAACTTGCGCTTCGTGCAGACGCTATGGAAGCAATAATGTCAACACCAAAATTTAATCACTTAAGATTTCTGTGGAAAACTCATTGGTATCCTACAAGACAATTGGAAACTACAATAACCAGATTTTGATATTGTGTCCCCCCGTTAAATGTCTATTCACATAGGGCTTGTATGGCGATATCACTGCTACGCAACTTTTGTTCAGCATCATAAACAACAGAGCACTATTTTTTACCATGTCGCCGATACAAATTGCTGAGGAAAACACTCTTCGTCCTCCCATTCGCTAGCCGGGGGTTAAACTTCACAATTGGAAGTATACTTTTCTTCGGTGCTTCCGATCTGGGCTTCAGCCACGAAAACGTTTTCTATGCAGTTTGCAAGTACCTAAATGAAAGTACAAAAAATTAGGCTTTCAATTGCGTGATTATTATTCATGCAAAACCTTCCAACATACACTACAGCTTTGTTTAACCATGTTGATTCCTATTCAAGATAATGAATGATTGTCTGATCTGAATGAGTGACAAACAACTGTTGCACTCCTTTCATTCTGCCTAGGGTGTCTTTTCTTTTTCTTTCTTTTTTTCTCCGGTAGGTGGTTTCGATATTGAATTAAAATAAAAAAATCTTACTGTAATAAGTCATCTATTCTTGGCCGATCCCCCTGAGTGGGTACGAGCTATGGCTTTAGAATCATCATCATTATTCTCATGTGGTTATGCGCCAAAGTTATTAGGGAAACAAGAAAAAACTTTTGTAATGAGTTAGAGCATTGGACGGCCCACTTGTTACGCTAATCGCATTATGCGACGACTGATTCTTCTTTCGCTGTTGTAAAACTGTTTATAAGTCGTAATAACGCGATTGCTTTCCCGACATCATGCCTGCCTAAGGCAAGTTTGACAACAAGTCACAAGCACCGGAGTAGATCAGTGGAAGAATACTGGGCTGGCACCCAGCGGACCTGGATCGAGCCCCACTGTGTAATTGGTGCTAGGTCATGCCTGCCTAAGACAAGTTTGACAACAAGGTTCAAGCAGCGGCGTAATTCAGTGTTATAATATTGTGCTGGTCTTCAGCGGACCCTGGTCCAAGCCCCACTGTGTCATTGGAGCAAGGTTTTTTTTTCTAATTTCGCGTGATATGTTTACGAACACCGGCAGCGGCGGCACACAGCATGCAATGGCGCGTGACCCATATTGTGATCTCATTACAGCTTTCGCTGTAAACGATGAATTATCAATAGTAGTACGTCGGGTGTTGCCGGTGGCCCAAGAACATATGCGCGAGGCACGGTGGTCGAAAAAGCATAGACTGTCTGGATGGGTAAAAACATGTTTATTCCTACCCGGAGGTGGCAGCTGAACTCCGCGATAAATGAGTCGTGGCTCGCTTGTCACAAGCAGGGGAAAGAGGAAGAGTCGTCAAGCGGACGCCTGCAGGTACGGGGAACCACTCAGACGTGCGGGGTTCACTCGGAAACATTGGTGCTTTTCGAAGTCGGGACTAAAGTACTGCAGAGGCCAATTTTTCGGGCCCCAGCGCGGCCCCACCGAACCCTTTTGTGCTGCAGCCCAGTCCATTGTTTTTTTATATATATCACTCGTACCAAGCCCGGGCACGAAAAGTTTGGGCCCAGTCCCGCTCATTCCGGTCCGAAAACTCCGTGCTTCGGCCTGCCCCAGCCTGGTCCAGTGTTCTTATACGCTCCATACCTAGCCCGGGCTCGAAACGTTTGCGTGGGCCCGGCCCGGTTTAGCCTCTTTCAGTCAGTTATGCCTCGAACACAAATGAGGCACGGTCCACTCTTCGGTTATTGTGAGGGTACCTGCCTAATAAACGATATATTCTAGTGATTGTTTTTGAACATATTTCAGTGTTAAACTTTCCCGGCCATACTCTGTCTACTTTTGGTTAGTAACGCCCGTAAAACTTCTGAGAAATGATTACAGGCTTATGTCAAATGTAATTGTAGTCGTAGATGGCTGTCTTATGTATGCAGTGCTACCTACACAATCCTAATTTTGCAGTTAAAACAAATACTACAATATAGCCTACCCTGTTGAGTAGGCAAAAGGGTGGACATAGATAGTTGGAGCCCACATACATTGAATGCGAGCAGTAGCTGCTCAGTAAAAGTGATACGTCTCCTGCGAACGTCATTTTTTTCGCCGCGCAATGAAGAACACGCTCCATATACTTCGGGGAGGAACCACACCTGGCTGCGCAGCGTTACACAAGTTAAAGCTGTCGTGTAATCTCGTCGGCTGTCTCCAACATACACCTTTTTCGCGCTCAGAACAAGAAGGTTAATTTCCCCGCCATTCTTTCCCGAGTCACCGCCACCGCTGTGCCATAGATTCGTCAAAGCAGCGCCTCCTCTATTTTCTCAGTACCCGGGCGAAGTCGTTTTCAACGGGAAGTGGCCATCAGCGTTAGTGCGGATTTTCACCGCCAGACGTCACCACCGGAGCAGACATGCCTGACGTCATCCAAATCTTGCTAATATAAATCTAGGACCAAACTCTAAGCAAACATTAAGAGAGGCAGCGAGCAAAGCCATCCTGAATGGTGAAGCTCCCAATGGATGAAAACTAAGTAGGGTGAGCATGATCTACATAGGAAAGGGGGACAAAGCCGATATAAACAACTATCGTCCTATAACAGTGACATCAGTAGTTTACAGGCTGGTGATGCAGACAGCAAAGAAAAGACTACAGACATGGGTGGAGAATGAGGGGGTGCTCAGAGAACTACAAAATGGGTTCCGTAAACGAAGAAGGTGGGAGGACAATCTGTTTTCATTGTTGCAGTGTCTTTAAACAGCGTGAAAAGAGCACAGGCCCCTGTGCGTGGCATTTCTAGACATTACGGGAGCTTATGATGGTGTGATTCAAGAAGACTTGGGGGGAATGCTGGACACACTAGATGTGGAAGATGGAATAACTAATCTTCTAAAGGATATCTCTAAAAGTAACAAGGTAGTTATAAATGAAAAGAACAGGTATATGAGCCCATATAGATACAACGCAGGCTTCGGCAGTGTTGTCGCTTGTCACATTTGTTCTTTATGCTGTATCTCCAGGGACCAGAAGCCAAATGTGTGGAGAGTCAACTCGGCTTCAGCCTCTCTTTTGCCAACCAAGGAAAACACATTGAACAATCATTGTTAGCCTTGATGTATGCAGATGATATAGTATTAATAGTTGACAACAAAAAAGATCTACAGGGATTGATAGACGTTTGTGGTAATGAAGGAGATAGGTTAAATTTGAAGTCAAACATAAAAAGATAGGCAATCAAAACTTTCAATGATAAAAAAGGCAGTGAGCGTAAGATACGGGAAGTCATGCTAGAAATAGTTGATAAATACAAGTATTTAGGCGTATTAATAAATAACGGGGCTGAATTTCTAAGGGAGCACTAAAGATACGTAATGACTAAGGGCATCAGGAATGCAGCTGTAATGAAAATTAGGGCACTGTGGAACTACAATAGGTATGACGTTGCGAGAGGGATTTGAAAAGGTGCCATGGTTTCAGGTTTGACGTTCGGCAATGCGGTCTTGTGAATGAAATCAGACGTTTAAGGAAGATTGGAAATTAAATGCGGCATAGGTAGACTGGCTTTGAGGCACACGGGAAGACCGCACATCAGGGGGTACAGGGTGACGTGGTGTGGACATCGTTTGAGTGCAGGGGAGCTAGCAGCAAGATAGAGTTTGGGGAGCGGTTGAGAAAAATGGGAGATGCACGTTGGACTAGGAAAGTTCTTAGCTACATGTACTTGAAAAATGCGGATACTAAATGGAGGAAGGGA